AGTGAATTTTATTGATCAAAATCATATACAAATACACCAAACTTTCCGGGCCAATTCTTGAATTTGGACAATTCTTGTCATTCTTGACGAATGACACCGATATAATTAAACTTTAAAGTCAACTTACTCATTTTTCAAGATGGGTGTGAAGCTTGTTACCCAAAATTACACTTTTTTGACAAATTTCATGAGCCATTCTTGGGACGATCCATCTATAAGTGGAAGTTCGAATGAGTGGCGTTTAAAAAATCAACAAATAAATTGTAATTATAAGTGAAATACAACTCGAATTCAGAGCTAACTGATTCTCTAGAAAATTAATCAAAATTATATAATGATCATCAAACACTATTCACTCTATTTTCACCCTTTTTTAAAAGTATGGAACATAATCATGTCTTTGAATCCACCACTCGAACTAACTATTTTTCTATTAGTATGCCACCCATGTGTAATAATGCCGCCTCCAAAAAGCTTATTAATTTGAAAAAGGTAACTGTTCATGAGCTAATCTCATTCAATTTAAAAACTAATCCAATATCAAACTCAAGCATTGATCTGATTTTAATAATTTAATTAAAATGATGAAAGAGTCCTTCTTTCTGGCGCGTCCCCAATAAATGGAAGTGACCCCAATCACAAGAACCCTAAAGACTCTCTACTCCACTCCATGTCACAATTTTCACTTACAGAGAGAGGAATAAATTGTTTTTTTCTATTTTTCAAGCTCAATTGATCAATTTCATTTCATTCTAATTGCTTGAACTGTGAAAAAGTGAAAATAAGTTACTGTAGAAGTGCTGAGTGAAAAGGACAGTAATGTCAAATGGTGATTCCTTTCGTGGATCAGTGTGAGTTATTAAAGACCTTAGCTTTTGTTCTTTAATGGGGTTTTGTTTGATTTTCTTGTATATTCTGATGATGCCTTGCTTATTCATTCAGCTTCCTATACGCACACACAGATGTATGTATATGTTGCACCATATATAGGCCATTTGCTGCTATTTAATTCTCTATAGTTGCAGCTTTTTCACAGGGAACAATTTGAGTAAGTTAAGAACGGAACTTCAAGCTCATGTACTTGATCAGGCATAATTTATTCAAAGGTAAATTACTATCCTAACTCATATGCAGTATATTGATTTGCACGGTCAAGTAGATAATGTACGAGGTGCATTATTTATTTATTTATTTTTTTTGTTTTTTCAGTTTTCCTACTGACATTCCTTCTAGGTTTCTTATTGCTGTTTATTGGTTATGGTGGAAATGAACAGATTCGAATTAGTGTGCGTGTGAGGAGTTGGACGGAGAAAGGTTAAAATGAGTAACAAGGAGTTGACCAGTTCTTTTATCGTGGTTATATTATTATTCAATCTTGTGATTCTTGGAAAAGCTGAAATTTACATTGTGACGGTGGAAGGAGAGCCTGTGATAAGTTATAAAGGCGGTATCAATGGGTTTGAAGCTACTGCTGTGGAGTCTGACTCTGACGAGAAAATTGATGTCTCTAGGTACATGTTATATGTATTTTTTTTTCTAGTTGAAATCTTTATTGCTTCTCATACAAGAGGAAGTTATTCAGTAGCCTCTATGTGGGACCATGATTGACGCTTTATTTAGTTAAACTCTGAGTTTTCTTAATTTTGTTCTGTATGATTTCTCTGGTTTGGTATATAGATGATTTGAAAATATGTTTGGCTTCATCTACTGTGTGTTTATTAGTCAAGTAGTCGTGCAATGAACCATTTAGCGAATATAGCCAAGTCATGTAGTTGCCAATTCGCAGTGCAGATTTTATAAGTTTCTAGTTTAGATAATTTCTATTTTGTTAAGCGGTCTCTGTATCCATTTATCATTGTTTACCACGTCACATTAAATTTTAAGTAGCTGTGCCATTGTTGGAAGGGTTTCGCACCAATACTCTAGCCTTATAATAATACTATGCTTCAGTTCCTTGATGGCAACAGTAACACTAGAAAGACTGTATGCTAATGCTTGGAAAAATTGAAATTTGATGAACTAGTGTGTTTAATAACTCTGGCAGTGTAGTCATATATTTCTGATTCATCAAAATAGTTTTAGTAGTAAATATCGTAAAAGTTGTGATGTGCATGAGATTTGATTTGTGAAAGGTTCTTTTGTGATGAAAGAACAGAAGCCCACCAAGGTGCTTTTTATGCCCCGCATAATCTCATGGTTAATATTTTTCTTTTATGATGGTAATAATCCAAGAGGATTGTCTATAGATATTACTGTGTTTGATGCATCTCTAATTCTTTGAGCTGAGGTTGATTGAAATTCTTAAAACTTGATCTTCCTTTTGCTTTATGATTTTGGCTCCTCTTCAGTGAATTAGTCATATCCTACTCCCGTCACCTGGAAAAGAAACATGATATGCTTCTGGGGATGATGTTTGACCGAGGAACCTACAAGAAACTCTACAGCTACCGTCATCTAATCAACGGCTTTGCAGTTCACATTTCACCTGAGCAGGTGATGTTCTATGTTATTTATTTGCTTTTCTTCAAGTTGCTTGATGTTCGATATTCTTCTGCATACATTCCTTACACCATCAGTGTATTAGTAGGCAGAAACACTTAGAGGAGCACCTGGTGTGAAGTCTGTGGAAAAAGATTGGAAGGTTAGGAGACTTACGACCCATACTCCACAGTTTTTGGGGCTTCCAACTGGAGTATGGCCAACAGGAGGTGGATTTGACCGGGCTGGAGAGGATATTGTCATAGCCTTCGTGGATTCAGGAATTTATCCTCATCACCCAAGCTTTTCAACACATAATACTGAACCGTATGGACCTGTTCTGAGGTATAGAGGTAAATGTGAGGTTGATCCAGACACCAAGAGAGACTTTTGTAATGGAAAGATTGTTGGAGCTCAACACTTTGCTGAAGCTGCTAAAATGGCTGGTGCATTTAATCCAGGAATTGATTTTGATTCTCCTCTTGACGGAGATGGACATGGAAGGTTTGAGTTACTATGCTTTGATAATTCAATTAGTTCAAAGCTGGGTTCTCTCCTTACATTCTAATATTTATTGAAATTATTAAAAGTATATATTGTGATTTTGTAAAGATGGGCAGGTGACTAAAAAGGATACCTATAATGCAAAACTGTAACTAGTAAATTGCTTGAGCAGTAGTAAATTAATTTTCCTAGGAACTGTTTCCTGCATGAGTGTGATACTTGTCACGCGCTGGAGACATTTCTAAACATCCAAGATATTAATAAATGGGTAAAAAAAATTCATTTTGGACACATTGAAGACTTAAGTCATGTCAATAGACTTACAAGTAGTAAATGAGAAGCTGTAATGTGGGCTTCAAGTACAAATGAGAAAGCATGCCTACAGTAAGCAATATGTATGATGAACCCATCTATATTGGGCCACTGTTGTTTCCTTGAATTCCAATAAAGCACTTACATTCTTTCGTCAAATTCTTTTTGAAACCAACAGCCATCAATCTACCGCTACTTTTCTATTAAGTTTTCTCTTAATTCACATGGATGTAATATCCCCTTTTATTTCATAAAATGCATAATGCATTGTAAGCACTAAATTAGAGGGGACTAAAGAGTCTCATGAAATCTTTAAAAGTGATGGTTTTGCTCTCTCCAAGATTGTACTTTTGTCAATGTAATTGTTGTGATGTTGTGGAGCTTACTTCAAGAATACTTTCTTACCAGTCATACAGCCGCTATTGCAGCTGGGAATAATGGAGTTCTTGTGAGGATGCATGGATTTGAATATGGACGAGCAAGTGGAATGGCACCCCGTGCTAGGTATAGCCATGTTCACGTACACTTGCAATGTTGTGAAATTAGCATTTAAGTCTTTTTCTCCCAATTAGAAAGTGATTTGCTTAACTATGGATGTTTTTCTTTTTTAGGATTGCTGTGTACAAGGCACTCTACAGAATATTTGGTGGATTTGTTGCAGATGTAGTGGCTGCTATTGATCAGGTATTCTAAAATGTGTAAGTTGATATGTAAATATCAGCCGGGATGACAGACAAATACCTCGATGTTTTTGGCTGAAACTGCATAAAAATTGAGTAAAATAGCTTGGTCATACCGAGATCTTGCTCAGCTACAATTAGCAGTTGAGCACAAGCAATAAAATGAATTTTCTGTTTCTTTGAGCAATGAAGTCTCCATAGAGTCCTCCCCCCCCCTAAATTTTAGGTCATAAAAAACTGGGGAAAATAAAACAATCATTGAAGATTAATATCCACCTTTGATCACCTTCTTTAGGTATCGGTGGGACAGAGCATCTTCTGTAAAGAATCTCCAGAGTTACTCTATTTGGAATTTGAAGTGACATAATTTACTGTTTATAATAAATGCAATAATTTTTAAATTTTATAAAAATGCTTTCTATCTTGAATTCAGAGCTCAAGGTAATCAAATCAATAAAATGGAAGATAATACAAGTTAGCTGATCCAGTTGAGTTTCTGACCTTTTCAAATCGACATGGTTTGATAGATTTGATTCAGTGAACAAACCTTTTCATCAGTATACACCAAGTTTACAGGAAATGACGTTCAGCTTGTTGTGCATACTTTGCTCAATGAGAAGATCAAATTCCATATGGGCAGATCAGATATATATATATATCTTAAATTGTTTATGTTGGTCAAACACACTTTTATCTACACTTTCTGAGGGACTGGCTGTTTAAATTATAATTGTAAAAATTCCCAAACACAAGCGCCTATATTGGGAACTGAATCATTCTCATTCCAACCAGTCTATGTCAATTTTTTACAACATCATGTATAAGGAGTATTATTCTGGATTTGATTATTAAATTTTCTTCTTCTTCTTCTTTCTTTTTTTCATTTGTTTTTCCTTTTTTTTTTTATAAAAATTATTATTATTAAAAACGTGTAGAAACTGCAAATGTGTTTATTCAGTGTTGGTTTGAGTGCCTGTGACACAAATAGATTCCAAAGAAGCTGATGATAAACCTCTCCTTTGTGCCTGAGGAACTCATAACTATAGTTGAGTCATGAGTGTATTGCCTGAACGACAACAAGCATTGAAGGCCAAAATAATATTGATTGCCTAAGTCTAAACCTGAGTTCACTAATACCTAGATTCTTATTAAAGTTACTATTTATTGTCAGGCTGTTCATGATGGTGTTGACGTTTTGAATCTCTCGGTGGGGCCTAATAGTCCTGGAGCAGCTACAAAGACCACGTTTTTGAACCCATTTGACACTGCCCTTCTTTCAGCTGTGAAAGCTGGAGTTTTTGTTGCACAGGCAGCTGGAAATGGAGGTCCATTTCCCAAAACTCTGTTGTCATACAGCCCTTGGATAGCATCTGTGGCTGCTGCAGTTGATGATCGGACATATAAGAACCATTTGACCTTGGGCAACGGGAAAATCTTAGCTGGAATTGGGTTGTCACGTAAGTATCTATGGACCGATGTCCCTTCTTATTACCTGGCCAGAGATGGGGAGTAAAATTGGAACTGGAGGTTCAATAATTGGAATTAGAATCTGAAATCATTCCAATTAAATTATGGACAAAAAAATTATATTGGAGGATTAAGAACTAATGTAAAGATAGAAATGTTCAATGCTTGGTTCTTTTATTGGGTACAAATCTTTAATTTTTCTCTAATTTATTCTGTTGACGAGCAGATTGGCATCACATTATGCAATACATGATAATTTATTCATTATTAATCTTCTCTTGAATCATGTTGCTTTTAAATCATCTGCTCTCTATTTGAGATTTACTCGATACAACTGTAAGCTATAGCCATTTAGTGATATGATGCAGGCGGATTAACATATTTTTCATTATTAATCTTCTCTTGAAACAAGCAAGTCAACTTTTTATTAGCTGTCACCCTTCTCTTCAAATGCATCTCCTTTTTATTGTTTCTTTTGGGATTAGCCAATCTAGAGTAGATGTGTATACCATTGTATTGGCAGTTATAAAGTTTTAGAATGTGAAGACATGGTTTCTGAGTTACTGTGCTCCTATTTGACGTCCTTTACTTTAATTTATTTTATTTCTCATTTTCAACCACACATTTACATTATAAAATATTCTGCACGTAAACCCAAAACCTTTTCCTACTTTTGAACCATACATTCTCCAAAAATACTATTCAAAACAATGTTTTTAAAATTTTAAGGATGTCAAACAGGGGCATAATATGCTCATGCTGTAGAACTTATTGTCAGTTTTCTCTTGCCTTATTTTTCTTCCTCCAGCTGACGTATATGTTGTGTCTTTCACTCTTTCTGCAGCTGCTACACATGCAAATCGAACATTTACCTTTGTAGCGGCTAATGATGTGCTGTTGGATTCTTCAGTCACTAAGTATAGTCCTTGTGATTGCCAGAGACCAGAAGTTTTAAACAAAAATTTGGTGGCGGGAAACATTCTTCTCTGTGGCTATTCTTTCAATTTTGTTTCTGGTACTGCTTCAATCAAGAGAGTCTCCGAAACTGCGAAGATTCTCGGTGCAGTTGGCTTTGTTCTAGCAGTGGAAAATGCTTCTCCAGGAACAAAATATGATCCTGTTCCTGTTGGTATTCCTGGGATCCTCATCACGGATGTTAGCAAGTCAATGGTAAATACTATATCTGAATCCTTTACTTGGAAGAATCACAGATGCAAGAAAAATGATGTCTTTCTCTTTCAAATGTGTTTCTTCCGGCAACACTCGTTTGTAACAATTTTCTGGTCATTGCATGGTTATAACATCTTCTAGGAACTCATAGACTACTATAATATTTCTACACCACGGGATTGGACTGGGCGAGTAAAGAATTTTAAGGCTGTGGGAAGCATTGGGGAAAGTCTGAAGCCTATACTCCATAAATCTGCACCACAAGTAGCATTGTTCTCTGCCCGGGGACCCAATATCAAAGATTACAGCTTTCAAGATGCAGATCTCCTGAAACCAGATATTCTAGCTCCTGGCTCTCTAATTTGGTCTGCTTGGGCTCCAAATGGAACTGATGAGGCAGATTATGCTGGTACAGTGCTCACGAAGACCATGCTTAAAACTTACTTTTACAGAAAAAAGAGTTTTAATTAGCAAAAAATGTAAATTTCTAGAAATATAAGTTTCATTGTTTTAAAAAGGGTAACTTTGAAAATCATGTTGAGCAAAATAAGCGAGTTAAAGAGTAAGTTTGACTTACTTATAAGCACTGCCAAACAAGCCCTTGAAATATCCTATTTAGATAATTAAGCAAGAGACCTGATGTCACATTGTTTGGGTCAGGTGAAGAATTTGCTATGATATCTGGAACTAGCATGGCTGCACCTCATATAGCAGGAATAGCTGCTCTTTTGAAACAGAAGCACCCTCATTGGAGTCCTGCTGCAATCAAATCAGCCTTGATGACTACATCAACAACCCTTGACCGGACTGAGAGACCTCTTCAAGCCCAACAATTCTCTGAATCTGGAACTATGTCTCTAGTCCCTGCAACGCCTTTTGATTTTGGAAGTGGCCACGTTAATCCCACAGCTGCTCTAGATCCTGGACTTGTCTTTGATGCAGGTAATTAATCTTTAGTTTTTCATGTTGATTATATTTTGCCTGATTTTTTACTGGGATATGACTAAATGTAAAGAGTTGCACCCCAGCTCCATTTATTACTTAAAATGAAAAGGTTGTCTCAATTACTTCTTTTTTCGTTGATTTAGGATATGAAGACTACATAGGGTTCTTATGCACTACACCTGGAATTGATGCTCATGAGATAAGAAATTACACAAATTCTCCCTGCAATTACACCCTTGGACATCCATGGAATCTCAACATCCCGTCAATCACAATTTCACATCTCATGGGAACTCAAACTGTGACACGCACCGTGAAAAATGTTGCCAAGGAAGAAACCTATGTTATCACAGGAAGGATGGCACCAGCAATAGCCATAGATACAAATCCTCCCGCAATGACTCTAAGACCTGGTGCATCTGGAAAATTCTCAGTGACTCTCACAGTTCGATCAGCTACAGGAGCATATAGTTTTGGAGAAATTCTTATGAAGGGGAGTAGAGGGCACAAGGTCAGGATCCCCATCGTAGCAATGGGTTTTGATCGATAGAGTCAAATGTTTGTTTTGTGATATTCTTTTGATCTCTGGGGGAATAAGGTACATAAAGTCAGATGTACTTCGTCCAAAAAATATAAGTAATGCAAATCATTAAAGGTCCCTCCAGGAAAGAGGCTTTTAGATCCTTCCTCTGCTATAAGTTTTTCAAATTTGTTTTGTAATATTGGTCAATTCAGTGCTTAGTATCCCCATCACGTTGTAAGAAGTTGTCTTTGTTTGAAGGATATTCGAAGGTTAAGTCCTTCTATACTGTATTTTTAACTGCTTTTGTAATAAATAGCTAGCTGAATTATTTTTTATTTAGTTGCAATTGCACTCTCTTGAAGGTTTATTATAGACATTTAAGAAAGTATCTGGTATGATGAAATGAAGACTAATGATTTTTGAACTTGCAACCAAGTAGATTTGCATAATGTTACAAATCATAAAAGATCTCCCTAACTTTTGGACAAGAACCCCTATAAATGCTCACCTCAAACAACAGAAGCACCTCTCCATCTAAACTAATCTGCAATCTTGATATGTAAAGTGAGTTTGGCTCCTCTTCTTGAAAAAAAGCTACTTTTTACGGAGCACACACTCTATGTGTGAAGAAAAGATGCTCTTAGTTTTCTTGTAAATCTGATTCACTTCTCCTGTTAAATGATATCTCTCTAATGGTAGCCAAAATAGGCTTCCATGACCTCGCTGGTGACTTCTGCATAGCATACGACGCCTGATCATTCTCCAGTTCATCTCCGGCCCTCGGACTTGAAAAACGGTTAGGACTATTAGCTGGAGAACTCCATACCGGGCTTGTACCGTATCGGCTGGGCGAACAACTTTGCCTCTCTGAACCAGTTTTGGACGGCCGGCACTTTTGTGCCATGGAGGCTAGCTTCCTCGCTATCGGGGCCAACTCGACCGGCGAAACATTGGACTGTAACAGCGAATATGGTAGCATGAAATAGATCCTGCCAGGTTCAAGAACAGTTTCTGGCTTGAGAGGGACTGAACCAGATAGTATCTGAGCATGAGTGAACAAAAATTGCTTTGTGGGCTTGCCAGTTAGTTCACCAACTGTAACAGGATACTCTAAATCCTCAACAAAACCATTAAAATGCACAACCCTAATGCTCTTCAGTTCAGCTACTGATGATCTTTTGCAAGAGTAACTGCAGCCCATTTCTAAACAACCCCAGTTTCCACCTTATGAATTTTGATCTTGATCTTGCAAGAAAAGAAGCTGGTCATCTGCTTATATAATAAGTGGTCAACTGAACGGTAAAGACTGATGGAGTGTTTGGTAAGGAAGATAGGATAATACAGACAATATTAAATAATGTATAAAAATTAAAATCTTGCTCATGCCCGAGCGTTGAATACTAGTTATAGTCATGAATTTAGATCTTGAAATAAAATAGCGTGTAGAAATTAATATCAATTACTAAGCTCATGTTTGTTTCCCATTCTTTCCCATTAAAATAAAAAATATGATCGTTATTCATGCATCAAGCCATTAAATTTGAATTTTTATTGCTTGTGTAGGGTCCATAACGATTATATTTTTTATTCTCATTCTTACAAAAATGAAAAACAAACAGAACGTAAATATTATTTATACACTGTCAACTTCGCGAAAACAGTTTTCTACAAGAGCAGGTTGGAGAGAGGAGACTGAAGTCAGATAGAAAGACAAAAAGAGTCCTTGGCCCGTTTTGGTTGCGTGAATTATTGTGGAAAAGACTTATTCAAAGAGTATTACTTAATTTTACCTTCTTTATCGGGTTACTATAATATCATTGAACTTCAAAGTTTTATCAGCAGTCACTAATTTTTAGATTTTGTGACTCAAATAACGCTAACATGATTAAACTGGCAATTTATAGAGCAAATCGCATTTTAAAAACCCATTTTTGCAAAATAAAATGATTACTTTTCTAACACTCAAAACTAAGAGAAATGTTGGGTGTACAGATTCTGATTTCACAGAACCCATACAAACCACTCACAACAACGAGTGTGTGGTGTGGTGGGGTGGATTTTTTTGGCACTTTTTTATTCATATGAGACCCACATTCATGTGAGATTTCTGTATACTTTTTGTGAATTAAATTCTGTGTATATAAAAAAAACTCTAAAACTAAACCCTCAAAATTCATGCTCACAATTTATTCCATGAGTGATATAAGACCCGAAATCTGGGTTTTTTTCATAAAAAGTAGGGTTTTTAATTTAATAAAAAATTAGGGTTTTTGAGTAAACCCAAATTATGGTTTTATTAAACAAGAAGATAGGTTATTATTATTATTATTATTTGAGTGGTGGGGTGGGGAGGGGGGGGGGAATTTAATTGGAAACATCAAGTGCACCTTTTTATGAAACAAAAACTTAGGTTTTTGGTAAATTTTAATATAAAACAATGAATTAGGCTTTGTAATCACTGAATAAAGAAATTATTAGAGTTTTTAGAAAATTAATTACAAAACAAAAATTTAGAGTTCTAATTTGTCAGATTAAATTTGGAATATGAGGTTTAGGGATTGGTTCAATGTATTTTAAGCATCAGAAAAGTGCAAATTGATTTCAATAATAAATTTTCAAATTGCAATTTATCTAATACTTACACGATTTAGCCTGACTGGCTTAATTTAATTGTTAGTGAAATTTATGTAAAATGAAGAAAAGCTTAGTGACCAACAAAATAATTAACCCGTTCAAAGTAAAATTGGGTGGAATGAAAGGGAAAGAAGTGGAATCAAAGACTGTTTTTCATGCCTTGTGCTTAGGGTTAGAATATTTTGACTGCAAGTCTACGATGCTAAACATTATGACAATGACAAATTTA